AAAAATGCTCTGAGACACAATGAGCATGCTCTGTAAAAGCCAGATGAATGTGACAATCTGATTTTTAAATATAAATGTTTTGTTTACTTCAAATATTTTGTTTATACAAAATTCCAAATTTTAAATGCAGAAACAATGCAACCAGGAACTTGTGTAATATACTGAAAGACACTTGTCAGCGGTCAGCTAAGAATATGCAGCTGTGTAAGTAAAAAGTGCTTTAAATTCTTCTGCCCATATATATTTGTCAGCCATATTGTTAAGGTGCTGAGAATATTGACACATTGCTACATATTTTATAATTAAATTCTACATTTTGTAGTTGAATCTGAAAGAGAGGAAACACATCACCTGGTTATGGAAAATAGTGAGAGCATTCAGGTAAAACACTTCTAAATTTATCAACAAATTTTATAAATTATTTTTTGGACAGGAGCGAGTAAAAGGGTAGGACATGAGGTTTGATGCAATTTAACTTTTTTCTGTAGAAACTGATTGCAGCATTCGAAAGCCTTCGTATTCTAGCAGAAGCTGATCAACAAGAGATGCAGAAAGGTATTTTTTTTCTCTTTATGTTTATTAGGCTATTCAATACAGTAATCCTTCAGAAGGATTCATCCTAATGATATAGGATGAATTAATGATAGATCGACAAGCAAGATAACATGTCCACCAGCAAGAAAATTTATCATTTTTATCTTTTTCCAGTGAAAGAGGGCTTGCTGCAATTTGAAGAGCTAAAAGAGAAATATTGTCAAGAATATGCCATGAAGGAGGAAGAGGTTAGTTCAGAAAAGAGAGACCAGTTTATGTGGGAACTTGTAACATGTAACCACAGGTTTTGAAACAAAACATAAGGACTGATGCTGTATTCACAGGTGGCTGGGCTTCAGATAAAGCTTAAGAATACGGAAAGTGGACTAGAGAAAGTCCTGCTTGACCTCCATGAAACCCAAAAGCATTGCAAACAACTCCAAGAGACAACAAGTAAGATAACATTAGCTTTCTAAATTCTGAACTATCTGTTATAACATTTCTTAATTCTTTTTTGTGCAGTCTTAGGCCTCTGGGGTAACTGCATTTGACAGAAAAATATATATAACCTTGTAATTATTCATTTTTTTATCCAATGTTCAGTTCAAGTCAAGTTCAATGAACTTGAACTTGAACAGTACTGAAATGGTTTTATTCGTGATTTTTTGAGGATACCAAAGATTACATCATATATTTACTATCTTTACAGATCAACAAAATGAACTTCTCAAAAGCTCAAAAGCTGAACAGGAATCCCTTCTTCAACAACTGCACACTGCTGAGCAGAGCTATGAAGAAACTCAGGTGAGTGTGTTAAGATTCTTGTCAGTCTCAGGGCTCTGTTGTGTTCTATCTGCTTTGACTGAGACATTATTGCTCCCTTAAAGAAAAATCGTGAAGCTATTGCTGCAGCCCTGGAACAAAGTAAAGAAGAATATGCACAGATCATCCAAAGCAAAGACTTAAGCTTGCAGGAGCTCAGCAGAGTTAAAAATCAACAAGCAGAGAAGCTGGAGCAGATTCAGACAACCATTAAAGAGCTACAGGATTCATTAGCCCTAGAGATACAGAGGTATTATTAACTCCTGAAAATTCACAGTATTTTCCAGACCAAGTGCAATTTTTCCTCCTATCATTAAATTTTTATTCATTCTTTGCACTAATTTTCCAGGGCCAAAGAACTGGAGGATAAACTAATGGCAAAAAACAACGAACTTGAAAGGAGAAACACACTTTTACGTATGTCTAACTGTCTGAAATATGTATATATTTTTATTTGATGCTCTGTCAAGCCAAAAGAAAATGTTTTGCTCAACAGGAGAGACCATGGACCAGAGTGCAAAGAAAGATGGGCAGATCAAAATCCTTGGAGATGAACTGGTAAAATGTGTTTTAAAGTTGAGGAAGAGTTTCTTTGCTTTTTAAGTTGTTCATTTTAATCTAAACTCCACATTCGTTGTAATCTTATCTCTATGTGGTTGTGTTCCAAGGACATCAAATTAAAATCCATTGAGTCCATGAAGGGTAAGATTGATGTAACTGAAGTCAGAGTGGAGGAACTCACAACAAAGCTTTCAAAGAGAACCGAAGAGGTCAAACTATTTAAGGTGATATAAACAGATGCTTCGTCTCAGAAAAAAGGATGTTTATTTGATAGTCTAATCCAGATTCCTTAAATAATATATATATATATATCAATATGTGCCCTTTTTATTGATGCAGAATGAAGCAGAGATGGCCTTTGCTCAAAATGATCTACTGAAGAAGGCTTGTGAAGCTGCTGAAAAGGCAAAAGAAGATTTAAAGGAGAAGTCAACTGAGACAGAGGTTTTTGACATTAATGGACACACAATGCTTCATAATGATGCCTGTTGTGAAAGTAGTAAATGCTTTCTTTGTGCTTTTTCTGTATAGTATGAACATCTGCAGGAGAAAATTACAGAAAAAGAAAAACAGATTAAAGCTGTTGAAACAAAGGTAATTTAAAAAAAAAAAAACACACAAATAAAAATGCTGTTATTATTGATGGCCATTTTCTGGANACCGAAGAGGTCAAACTATTTAAGGTGATATAAACAGATGCTTCGTCTCAGAAAAAAGGATGTTTATTTGATAGTCTAATCCAGATTCCTTAAATAATATATATATATATATATCAATATGTGCCCTTTTTATTGATGCAGAATGAAGCAGAGATGGCCTTTGCTCGAAATGATCTACTTAAGAAGGCTTGTGAAGCTGCTGAAAAGGCAAAAGAAGATTTAAAGGAGAAGTCAACTGAGACAGAGGTTTTTGACATGATTTCCATTTTCTTGCTCCACTCATTATCTCTTACCCAATGTGGAAATCATTTTTGGGAAATTATTTTTATAATGAAAAAAATTCAGTGATATGTTGTGTTTTTATGCTCTCAGATCAAAGTGCAGGAGCTAGAGGCAGAGTTGTTTACTGAAATAAAGAAAAATAAAGAACACACCTTTCAAATGGAGCAACTGAGGAATGACATTACACTGCATAAGTGAGTTCTTAATAGCCAGCCATTCCACAATATTGGCTTATTGAATATTATATTGAAGTGTTGAAATCTTAATGTCTAATGTTTAATTTATGTCATTTTGAAGAGTAAAGTATGAAGAGCTATTATCCAACTTTAATGAGCTTCAGTCTGAGAAGATGGCCATTCAACAGCAGTTTGAGAGTGAATCCTCTAGTGTGAAAGCTGTTGAGGCAAATATGAAGGTCTGAATTACCAAATGTGACTTTCATGACACCTATTTCATGTGTGCAGTAGTTATGTGTTTTATTTAGTCATTATTTACTGTACATACAGTATGTGGCAAGTTCTTACTGTTTTGACTGATCAGGTGAGCGAGGAGAAGACTGTGAAGCTCACAAGAGAAATTCATAGACTCAAAGAAGAAAACCAATGTTTACGGTGAGTTTGCAGGTTAGAGACCTACACATTTTTGACATTGTGTAGTCTTTGAGATTTAGATTTGTATATTTTCATTAAATAGAGAGGAAGCAAACTCCATTAAAACCAAAATCCAAGAGAAATGTCAAGAAACTGAGACTCTGCACAAGAAAATGGAAGAAAATGTAAGAATGCCAACAAAATCGATTATTAATGGACACACAATGCTTCATAATGATGCCTGTTGTGAAAGTAGTAAATGCTTTCTTTGTGCTTTTTCTGTATAGTATGAACATCTGCAGGAGAAAATTACAGAAAAAGAAAAACAGATCAAAGCTGTTGAAACAAAGGTAAAAAAAAAAAAACACACAAATAAAAATGCTGTTATTATTGATGGCCATTTTCTGGAACTAATAAGAAATATTTTGTTTTTCATCTGTTTTTCATCAAAAAATTGAAACTGTAGATATACAATACTTGAGATGGATTTGTTTTTTATTTAGCTAAACAGTTCACTTGTATATTTTCAGAATAAAATACTGAAGAAACAAATAACAAAGGAGATTGCAAAATCCAGTCAACTTGAAAATGTGGTATAGTGATGTTTTTTTTTTAATCTTTTATCTATTTGTAATATCAATAGGAAAAATTTAAACCAATAAGTAATACTCTGTTTAATGTAGATGCTTGTTTTTGTCTTTAGATCAGCAGTCTTCATGATGAGTCCCAGAACCTTGAAAAACTGAATGAGGAAATCCATCAGAAATTGCTCAAGGATCTTGAGTACAAATCCACCTTTGCAGCAGAACTTGAGAATGAGGTTGTTACTTGAGGTTACCAAAGTTATTTGGCATATTTTTAGCTCCCAGAATATAAATTAAGAATAAAATCATCTTGTCTTACAGGTACAAAAGATCAAATTAACAGCAGCAGAGGCCATCAAGAACAAGGAAGATGCAGAACTTAAGTGTCAACACAAGATAGCGGATATGGTTGCACTGATGGAGAAACACAAGGTAAGGTCATTATAAAGTATATTCTGTCCAAAAATGGTCTTGTACAGTATGAGTGTCAGTCCAGGAAGGAACTTGACTTGTCTTTACTAGAGCCAGTATGACCGGATCGTTGAAGAAAAGGATGCAGAGCTTGATGAGAACAAGAAGAAAGAGAAGGAGGCTGTGTCCCAGAGGAAATCACTGGTATGAGGCAAAAAATTATAAATAAAGATTTATCACTATCTATTTACTGTTAGATAATGAATCAGTTATATCCTAATATGTCTGAAATCAAATTCTTAAAATCAGGAGTTGGATCTTTCAAAACATAAGACTGAAAATGAGCAGTTGAAGAAACAGCTGAAGACTGAAACAACAAAGAAGGTATGCCCCAGTTAGAATCCATTATAGTTTTATTTTTGGCTTTTTACTGAAACAGGATGTGCTTTAACTTTTGAGAGACAGTTCTTTTTTTCTTTTGAGAAACACTTTTCGTTGCTATTAGGAAAACCTGCAGAAGGAGCTAACTGATTTGAAGAAAGAAATGTCATCAATGGAAATCACTCAGGTGTCAGAAGCAGAGAACAAGCAGGTACAAAGTCAGTACATCTGCAAATATGCTGCCACTGATGACGTTGTTTGTCATCATTTAACCAAGAAGTAATCTTCAAATTCTAGTCACCTGCCTCAAACTATAAACAAGGACGATGTTCAGAGACTCCAAAAGACAGTGCTTCAAAGAGACGCATATTTGAATTCTCCAAGACCAGGAAAACTCCCTCCTACTGCAAAGATAATGGAAGTGCTGCAGTTATGAAGAATGCTGTGAGTTTAATCTACTCAAATGTTTTTAGATAGGCAAAGTAAATTGTCTCATTTCAGCTTTATACTAAATTGTTGAGATGAGTCGGAAAATAACTCATCAAGCTGTCATAACTAATTTTCGATTCTTCGGTAATTATTACTGGAATTTTAATTGGCATTTTCAGGCTCAGGAAAGTTTAAGTAAAAATACTGTGTATCACATATTCAGACCATCATGTCTTTTATGGTTCAGGAATCTGACACTGAATCCCTCAGAAAGTCATGTGGAACAACACCAAAGAACAAGGTAGATGACAGTTTAATCTGTTCATAAAGTAAATATGGCAATGATAATTAAGACAACTATAATCTTTTGCTTAATCTGTGTCTCTGTTTACTGTAGCATTCATTCTAAGTAAAACTGACCCTGACTTTGTATCATAGGATGCTCACACTGAAGACCTGAAAACCCCGAGTATGACAAACAGGGTTGGCGGAACATCAAAGATCAAAGTAATATACAGTATCATTCTGACATTTTCCAAAATGAATAAAAATATCAATGGCTTTTGCGGACATTTACTCTTTGAATTCACTTGCAGTCCTACAGGATAAGGACACCACCTTCCGCTGAAAAAGCAGCACACTGGGGGAAGAGCACCTTTGAGTTTGACCCCAAGTCTGACAGCTCTGATCAAAATGATCTATTGGTGAGAAGTGTTTTTATTGGTTCAGAGTTTATTGGTCAGAAGTATACAGTATCATACCAGCCTGTTGATTTTGTGAATTTAATGTGATTTTTGTGCAAGATTGACAGAAGAGCTGATTTGGCTTTCTATTTGTCTTCCTGACAGACCTTTGAAAATGCACCCACGCTCAATTTTTCTGCTCCGCACTGTAAACTCAACACCATCAAAAAGGTAACACACTTCCATAGTGGTGTAATGCCATTTAGATATTATCTTTATGCATTTTATGCACAGACAAAGTTGAAATAAGCCCTGTAGTTTTTATTTATACTACATCAACTTTTATTCAGATCCAGAGCCCTGTCACTAAATCACCAGGGAGCTTGTTGAAGCTAGCTGCAATGAAAAGGGTGAGAGATGCTGGTTGGACCGCAGTGACACGCGGTGACAAGAAAAAGAAGAAAAACAATGAGAAGATCTTTGCATAAGTAGTGCTGTTACAGGTCAGATAAACCGTATTAGCAATATTACACAGGTTTAGGAGTTGATACTCAAGTAAACTTGATATCTTAACATACATAGATGGTTTTGTTAGGGATTAAATATAACATAATAATAATAGTAACAGGCAAATATATTTCTTTACATGCAGAGAAAATATTGTTATGGATCAGTTAAACAGTATTGTTTGTGACATGCAGATTTAGGTGTTCATGTTCTAGCTTTTAAGCAAGTTTGCTTGAGATTTGGAGATAGATTTTGAGTGAAGTTACCCTCCATGTTAAGTACTTTGCAATAAATTCTATTCTATGAAATAATTTATCTTAACTAATATACACATGAAATCTCTATTTTGAACAAGTTCATATTGTTGGTGTTGGGAAAGAGTAGTTGTTATGTATTACTCTCTTAGTATATTTATCTATCCTAGAGTTGACAGTGAAATCAGTAAAAGTAATGTTCAAATTGATCTTTTTTGTTCCTTTTTGAATGTTCTTCTCATCATCATTTTCTCTTCCTCTCAGACATTAGCCTCTCATAAAGAGCTTAAATGTCAATGTGAAATTTCAGTCTTGAAATTGTATGAATTCGTGGATGAGGAAAAATGTCCGTGTCCATGTCTGTTATGTATTAAAGGTGACATCTCAAACTGTAGTTAACTGTCTGTCCTCAGTGAAGGAATTCAAGGTGAAATTGAGATTGGTCTTTTGGGGCTGTAGGTACATTATTATGATACACAAAGAAAATCATTTTAGTAATCAACGTCTACAGTCTATGTGCCACATTAGATCACATATAGTTGCTATTCTTAACAACGTATTAAGTCTTATATCTACATAAGGCCTTCATGGGGTGATTTAAGCACTTGGGTGGTTATGAGGTATTGGAACAGGTTCATGTTTGACTGTTCAGACTGTGACTCCATTAGTAAACTCCTGTACAACAACAGCTTCAAATCCTGTGATCCTTTTGTTATGCATAATGCATGTCACGTTCATAGACCACAGAATGTGTTAAATGGGTCCATATCTTTTTCCTTTCATGTTTAAGTAATGCTTTATTGATCAGTTTCTACTTGCATGGCCTGACTCTCAGTCCTTTATGAATTTATGATTCATTGATGAACCTGCAAAGCTTACAGAATTATTAATTTTTAAAAA